TGTGGTCCCTGGGAACAGCCTTTCCAGAGCCTCAGCAGCCAGCCGGTGACACAGGCAGGATGGATGTCTGCAGGCCCCGAATGGAGCCATGTTACCCGCTGCCCCTAGACTTGTGGGTCACTGTGCTTGTTATTTGTTGGAAGGAAACAAGCCGCCTTGCCTCGCAAATCAGGAGACTCTACGGGGCAAACAGGCGGGCTGAGAAGCCGTTTTGGCTCTGTCTGACGGAATTTGTGGTGGGCTCGTTGATCTATGAGGAGTGTTTCCGCATGAACGACGGCTTCTCCAATTATTTGGTAAGGGTCTCTGACCACAGTGCTTTTAAGGCTCGTAGCACCCCACAGCCACAGTGCTGGCCCTCAGTGTTGACCCAAGACAGGCTGAGGTGGGCTTGGATAGTGGGAATGCAGTTCAGCGACAGTGATTAAGGTCAGATCTTCTTGCTCTTTGGCAGGAGACAATAACTGACAGATAATGAAGCAATGTGCAAGGCCGCCTGGTTAGACCTCATGTCCCTCCTGCCTGCAAGAGGAAAATTCCTTTTCCAGACGCTACTTTGGCAGAGAGACTTGTGATACTGGGACAGGCAGACACATAAGCTTCGTCAGCTTTGGGCAGGTCATGCATTCCTGTCCCGAGTTTTCATACTCAGCTTGGTCTGACTTGAGCATGAGACCCACACGTACAGGTTATGAAGTGATATCGTGCTGTGTGTTCTACCGTGCATATGAGGCTGCACCTCCTAGCAGTGAGGGGAGAAAACCACCTGAAGTAGAGATTCCTGAATCTCTCAAGAATTAGAATCTCATTTAAAATTGGGTAATTATTACTCATCTCCCTTCCTCAAAGAACATCTAGTGATTTTGATGAGAAAAGAATTTAATGGATTTTGAGATATGTATATAGAGATATGAGATTTTTGAGATATGTATATGTGCCTATAGAGAAACATTTTCCAAATAAAAAAAAAACCCACTCTATGTATAGGAGTGTAAACACCTAAAGCAGTAGTGTCAGCTCTGATAGACTTCTGTGTCTGAGAGTGGGTTTTGCTGTGGCAGATAGAATTTGGGCTAATGGGCTGCTTCTCTTCCTGTCTTGTATTTTTCAGATGGACACAACTCAAGAAAGTTTCCTGGACCTGTTTCCTTTAGATGTAATTGTTTATCTCACTCCTGACTCTGAGAATGGTAAATACTTCACTTGCTTTAGGCACTGGGGAACTAGGGCAAAAGGTTGATTTTTAAGCTTTTGTTTTTGATACTATTTCATACTTCAGGTGATTCAATTCTGAGCATTCACTGTCTGAAATTGCATGAGATATACTGTGTACTAAGGTCCGATGCTAAATCTATTTGTATCTCAATCTGTTTTGACAGGGAATGACATTTAAAGTCAGGGCTGTGTATGATCTGCAGCATTTTTAACTTAAAATCTTTATGTAGACTCCCTGTAGTTTGTAATACTATGAAGTGGTAAAGTGGAGATACCGTGTCAGTTTTGAATACAGTCTAAATTACCCCTTTCTCTGAAATAATGCAGGAGCTACAACGTTCCCTTTATTGCTTAATTTGCTACTGTGTTTATTTTCTTCTCTTGGATTTCTAACTGGCCACATGTTCCTGGGGTCGTAGATCGCTTTCTGGTCTTATGCAAGTGCCTTACTCTAATAAAGATTCTGGTAACGGTAGGGGAAGGTTTTAGCAGATGATCTTGACAGTGGGAAGGCATCTGCGGGGCAGACTGGGATCAGACTGACCAGATGAGCCGCATCTCAGAACAGACAACAGTTAAAGGGAGCAATGTATCTCTGTATCTCTGGCACTCCATGCTTTCAGCCTACATCTGATCTCCCCCTTTCAGTTTGCCTGTGGGTTCAGGCAGGCACTTAGGTCTCTGAAACCTCAGCCGCCTTCATAATCTGAGGCTCCAGGGTGAAGGTGACTCTGGCCACAGCTTTCTCATGGAAGTGGGGTCTTGCTTGGGGAATGCTGTTGTGCAGGATTTTACTGTTGTATGGTGGTGAGCAAGTGCTTATCTCGTTTCTAGTCCTTGAAGATATTGATCCAAATAAAGTATACGTCCTCGGAGGCCTGGTGGATGAAAGTATTCACAAGGTGGGTAGTAGTCTGTTGGAACCTGACGGTGCCATCCGCACCATTCTCTCATACGAGCAGATATCCCATTGATGGCATCCAGTGCTGCTGCTGCCTTGATTTGAGACATCACTGTTGTGCCACCATCTATTTTTCCTCAAGGTTCTGACTGGATTCAGCACCAGGCTGAGAGAAACTGCAGCAGTCTGGGTGAAATGAGCTCCATAACAGTTTTCAGCTCTGTAGTTGCTTGTACCAAAATAATGTGCATGCTATGCATGTGCAAGTTTGTGCACACTGGGCACCTTGTTACTGTTTCTCTTGCAGAAGCTGACTCTGCAAAGGGCACAAGAGCAGTCCTTGCAAACAGCCCGCCTCCCTATTCGTGAGTACATGGTGAAAACTGTTAACAGCAAGAACTACCACTCGGAGACACTGGCAATTAATCAAGGTGAGAGGCTGAGCCATGTCCTGTCACTTGCCTGGGCTGGAAGAGGCAGGAGGCAGTCAAGCAGCAGAGTTTTCAAAATGGAGGACCAGTGCTGAGTAATAAGGGAAACACTGTGAGCAGAGTTTTATCTAAAACACTGTTTTATCTCTGCTGCCCCATTTTAAGGTCTTGTGTGCTTCTCCGTATCAGCCTGTTCTCAGAGGAGCAGGACTTGCATCTCTTTTGCTTTGTGTAAAGCAGTAAACAATTAGTCTGGGGAGTTAGCATGGGTTCATGAAAGCCAGGTCCTGCTT